GGCCCATGTCGGGCCATGGGCCGGCCCGGTCCATTGGACCTATTTTTTGATCCCGGCCCGGCCCAAGTTTTCGTGCCGTGCAGAGCACGGCCCATTAGTATTCGTGCTCGTGCCGTGCCGTGCCTCATTTAAACGGGCTAGGCTCGTGCCGTGCTGGGCCGGCCCGTCCCGTTTGACACCTCTATGTTTCCTCCAACAATGTTCTCTATTTTGTCTAATCTGAAATATTGTATTATTATTTTCCCTTTCTCTTGCAAATCAAATATATTAAAAAGAAAAGTAGAAACCCAACCCCATCAACCTCCCAAATGTCTCTATCTCTCACCTTTTTTCTCTCTCCTCCTCTCTAGATGTAGAGATCCAAAAGTTGATTCTCCAAAATAAAGAGCCAAGTAGGGAGTTTGTTAGAAGGAGGACTTTTTATCCAAAGTAGATAATTATGAGAGTCGGCTGGAGATGATTCTAAGTATTAAAAAGGAAAAAAAATAGAAGTAGAAGAAAGAACAGAAAATTGGAGGTAGCACGCTTTAATAAGTCCAAATTTTCAACAGTGCCTTCTTTGAAGGTTTTACGTTTTCCTTTTGGTTGACTTTCTTTGGTACTCTGTAGATGAGTTTTTCACCGTCTTTAACAGTCCTGCACTTGCAGGTTTCAATCTCTTTGATTTGTTCGGTTTTTACTTGTCTTTTGTTCAATTTCTTTTCTTTGCTGTTTTGTTATTTTTTATCTACCATGTGTTCCTGATGATTCTAAATTTTTCTGGTTGCTCTATGTTTATTTGGTCCTTTTTCTTTTTCAGTTTTTGCAGAATGAAGTCTGTGGAGTCGTCTTTTTCGAAGTCGCTTGTACCCACTCAGTATGAACAGGAGGGCATTAGTGTGGATATTGAAGTACTGGAGGATCTGCGTTCTGATTTTCGATTTTGTTTGGTTGGCAAAGTATTCTCTATTCGTTCTTATCCTCATGGTGTTTTCAAAACTTTGATTGCCAAACTATGGGATTTTGCTTCAGGCTTGAGTATTCGCGAGGTGGCTGACAATTTGTACCTATTCCGCTTCCAAAGGGAACAAGATCTGACTCGGGTTCTGGCTATGGAACCGTGGTCCTTCAAACGAATGTTAATTCTTTTACGGCGTGTGGATGGTGCTTCTCCGGTTCGTGAAATCACTCTCAGCACCACTGATTTTTGGATTCAGGTCCATAATTTGCCCATTCTCAGTATGACGGCTTCAGTGGCCCGTTTGATTGGCAATCGTTTGGGTTCCTTTCTGGAGGTTGCACAGGGCGATGATGGAGACTGTATCGGTCGGTGCTTGCGTATCAGAGTAAGGGTTGATGTCACCAAACCTTTGTGGAGGGGGATGAACATTTCCTTTTCAGGAATTGGTTCGAAATGGGTTGACTTTACTTATGAGAGATTGCCGGAATTTTGTCATGATTGTGGGAGTTTAGAACATTGGACACCAGATTGTTCCAGGCCTTCTATGGATATTCGTGTGGGTGTTGTGAAACCTTTCAGTAGTAGTTTGCATGCTAGTCTGGAGCCTTTTGGTGGTCCGCGTTTCTCAGATCGACGGGCCCGTGACCGTTCTATTACCTTTTCTGAGTTGGCAGGACCGTCTTGTGATGAAGATCGTCGTTGGCTTAATCCTTCTTCTGCGGTGGTTCTGCAATCGCCTGAGCACAACTTAGCGGTTGGTAGCGGTTATTCAGATTTATCTCCTTCAATTCAGGAGATAAGTCAGTTACATGGTTTTCAAAAGTCTGAAGCGGTTTCTCCTTTGCCAGTTGGAAAGTTAAAGGCCCAAGTTTCTATGTCCCACACTTCTCAATTGGGCCTCTCTGGTACAGCTACTTTACATGATCCGGCCCAAAGGGTTGAGACTTCGAGCCCTGTACTTCCTACAAATCTAGATACATCAACTACTTCAGTCTCCCCCTTAACTTCTGGTTTCTCTGATATTTCTTTTCCAAATTCTACTCATTTGGAAATTGGTCTAGGTCTTTCTTCCACCTCCTGCAAAGGTTGGAAACGGTCTGCTCGTCTAAAAGGTGTTGCTGATACCACTCTTCCTCTCACAGATGTTACTAATTCTATTCCTCTTTTGGGTGGTCTTCCTGATGACTTCACTCACGGCTCTTTGCAGATCAAATGTCCTAAGAAAATCAAGGTTAATTCTCTTTCGTCTGGTGACAAAACCGTGGTGGATGCAGCAGGGCTGCCCCACCACGAGAAATGAAACTCTTATGTTGGAATGTTCGGGGTCTCGGGAAACCCCGAACATTACGTGCCCTTAAGAATATCTTAAGGGAGAATCGTCCCGATTTGGTCTTCTTGGCTGAAACCAAGATGACTCATATGCAGATGGAGAAGATTTGTATTGAGGTAGGTTTGTCTGGATTCTTTTCTGTAGAAAGAGTTGGTTTAAGCGGTGGCTTATTGTTTATGTGGCAATCAAATTGGCATGTCCTGTTAGTAGGGTCGTCTGCAGGTCATATGGATGTTTCTGTTTGTTCTCCAGATCGTCAATTTTACCGGGTAACTGGGTTTTATGGAAATCCTATTCCTCAACTAAGATCCCATTCTTGGGAACTTTTAAGACGATTATCGACATCTATTCAAGGGGGTTGGTTGGTTGTTGGAGATTTTAATGAATTATTAGATGTGAGTGAAAAGACCGGCCTTTGTCAACGTAGCTCGATTCAAATTGGTCAGTTCCGAGATGTTTTGGTTGATTGTGGTCTTAGCTCCATTCCTTTTGTGGGCCATTCCTTTACTTGGTCTAATTATCGTGCTGGTGATGATTTTGTTGAGGAACGTCTTGATCGGGGTTTGGTAAATGATACTTTTCTTCTAGACTACCCACATGTGTTATGTCATCATCTGGTCAACTCTGTCTCTGACCATAAGGCTCTCTTATTTGATGTTTTCACTGATAATGAATTTACTGCACAACAATCCCGAAAACGCCGGCGTTTTCATTTTGAGGAATTTTGGGTTGGTGATTCTGATTGTGAGAGGATTATTCAAGGGGCATGGCAAGGGTCTGATGGTTCTGCAATTGGTATTAGTCAGGGACTTACTCGTTGTGCCAATTCTCTACAACGTTGGAATTGGATACATTTTGGCAATTTACAAGTGCAAATCCGGAAGGTGAAGGTTGATATTGCTCATTTGCAGGCTACTGTTCCTTCTCCTATTTACTTGCCAAATCTTAAACTCCTGGAGGCTCGTTTAGATCTTCTACTGGAACAGGAGGAGACAATGTGGCGACAACGCTCTAGAGTAACTTGGCTGCAGCAAGGGGATAACAATACACGTTTTTTCCATGAAAGGGCAAAAACAAGGCAACGAGTTAATTTAATTCGTCAACTGCAAGATGATCATGGGGTTTGGCAAACCGATTCTGATGCAATTGGTAATATGTTTTGCTCTTTTTTTAGCAATCTTTTTACACGTGTTGGAGGTATTAATATGGATCGTGTTTTGTCTGTTCTGGAGCCTTGTGTTTCTTCCGGTATGAACTCGCATTTACTATCTCCATTTACGCGATCTGATTTGGAAAAGGTTTTATTTCAAATGCCAGCCACTAAATCCCCTGGTGTTGATGGGATGTCAGCTTTATTTTTTCAAAGGTATTGGCATATTCTTGGTGATGAGGTTAGTCTGCTATGTTTAAGTGTGTTGAATGGTTTGAGTAGTGTCCAGCCTTTTAATCACACTTTGCTCGCCTTGATTCCTAAGCTAAAGTCTCCTTCAAAAGTTGGTGATTTTAGACCAATAAGTTTATGTACTGTCATTTATAAACTTATTGCAAAATGCTTTGCAAATCGTCTGAAGTTGGTTTTGCAATCTGTCATTTATCATACTCAGAGTGCTTTTGTACCATCAAGGAATATTCTTGACAATGTCATGGTGGGTTTTGAAGTTATGCATGCTGTCAAAAGGAGGAAAAAGGGTAAACAGGGAGCTTTGGCAATTAAACTGGATATGGCTAAGGCTTATGATAGGGTGGAATGGTGTTATATTGAGGCTGTTATGTTACGGTTGGGATTTGCACAGGAATGGGTACGACGCATAATGGATTGTATTTCGACTGTTTCCTTTTCGGTGTTATGGCATGGCAATTCTTTTGGTCATTTCAACTCACAGAGGGGATTACGTCAGGGCTGTCCTTTATCCCCTTATCTTTTCTTGTTTTGTGCTGAAGGCTTTTCTGGTTTACTTCGTTTTGCTGAGAGGAATGGAAGTTTAATTGGGGTCTGTGCTGGTCGTTATGCCCCTCCAATTACGCATTTATTATTTGCAGATGACAGTTTATTATTTTTAGAGCAAACTCCAGATGTATGTTCCATATTGAAGAATATCTTTCAAGTGTTTGAAGAAGTAACAGGTCAGGTAATTAATTTTCAGAAGTCAGCTTTGTCTTTTAGTCCTAATACTTCTATGGAATTTCAACAACTAGTGACTGATTCTTTATTCATTCCGGTGGTGGTTTGCCATGAGGTTTATTTGGGTTTGCCTACTTTGGCTGGTAGGGGAAGAAAGGAATTATTTCGATCTGTTAAAGATCGTGTTTGGCATCGTCTCAATGGGTGGAAAGAAAAACTTCTTTCACAAGCTGGTAAAGAAGTTCTTATTAAATCTGTAATTCAAGCTATTCCTTCTTATCCTATGGGGGTGTTTCATTTACCCAAAAGCCTATGTAAAGAACTCTCTGCTATGTGAGCGAGATTTTGGTGGGGAAAAACTCATAATCGTCATGGGATCCATTGGCTCAAATGGTCTTCCTTATGTAAAACCAAAAAAGTTGGTGGCCTGGGTTTCAGAGATTTTGAACATTTTAATCAGGCTTTGGTGGCTAAACAAGGTTGGAGGCTTCTCACCAATGCAAATTCTTTTGTGGGGCAGGTGTATCGTGGAAGGTATTTTCCTAATGGAGATTTTTTGACTGCTCCATTAGGGAATTCTCCTTCACTTATTTGGAGATCCTTAATTTGGGGTCGGGAATTATTGACTGCTGGTCTTCGTTGGAGAGTAGGTGATGGTTCATCAATTAAAATTAATCGAGATCCTTGGCTGCCTCTGCCGTCCTCTTTTCGGCCTTCTTCACCTCAATTTTTTGGGGATGATGCTACTGTTCAATTTTTAATCGATTCTGTTTCTCCAAAATAAAGAGCCAAGTAGGGAGTTTGTTAGAAGGAGGACTTTTTATCCAAAGTAGATAATTATGAGAGTCGGCTGGAGATGATTCTAAGTATTAAAAAGGAAAAAAAATAGAAGTAGAAGAAAGAACAGAAAATTGGACTCCTATAAAGTAAAAAACACAAGCTAAACTAAAGTGCCTTTATCGTGATGCACGTGGCTCAGGTTGGAACTCCTTTTTGCGAACCCCTATTTGCTGCTCCATCTCAGCCGTCAAAGTGATCTCAATGGCTGGAGAGAAAAAGAGAGCTTATAATAGAAATGGGACGCTGCACTTCCGCTTAGCGCACATGTCCTCGCACGCCTTTTCCAATCCCGCCTTTCTTCCATCCAATGGCGCCTGTTTTTCTTTTTCCAGACTCCCTCTTGTTCTTCTCCAACAAATTCTCCTCTCTCTCTCTCTCTCTCTCTCTCTCTCTCTCACCTGTTTATTCTGTGTTAGTGGCGATTGGGTTAGGGTTGATAACAGTTACTGTTCACATTTTCCCCATCTCCTTCACCTCCTTCACGCACATAGTACCCAAACACCGACATTGCCTTCCTCAGACATCTATGACTCTCAAGAAAATCTTTTAGTTTTTAGAATTCCAACCTCCAAATATATTTCTTAGAATCCTAATTTTAATTTTAACTATTTTAATTTTTTGTGTTCATTCTCTCTCACGACGGCCTTCCTTGCCCGCCAATCTAAGAGGTAGAGTGACGGGCCTGGCTCTGTCTTGGGCCTGTTTCCCTGGTACTTGGGTCTGTTACTCCATTTTTCTGTTGCAGTATTTCAGCTTTTGTTGTTGTTTGGGATCGTGATCTGCTTTTCCGTAGACTGGTTTTGGCATCGACGGCTCCCTCTCTCTCGCCGGCGCTCTCTTTCTTGCTCTCTCTCTCTCTCTCTCTCTGGCTGGCTGGCTCGTTCTCGCACTCTCTATGGCTCGCTCGTTCTCGCACTCTCTGTTCATGAGAGCCTCCCTTCCTCCATTCCATAGGTAACAACTGTCCTTCCTTCTCTTAGAATTATTTTCTATGTTTTTTGAAAATTAAATTTCTATATCCCTAATTTGATTTAGGGTTAAAATATTTGGGTTTTTAATTGTAAATTATTTGTGAAAATCATTATCTTTTTGTATATATTTTCGATTTATATAGGAATTAGGGCAAATTTTCTGAATTTTTTTTAGTGTTTAGGGATTTATACTAGTAGTGATTATGTGCGAATGTTTCTCAATTGTTTATGAGATTCTGAATCATGTCTTGGTGTTTGTGATTTGTTGTTGTAACAAGAGATGAGTTTGTTCCTCAAAAGGAAGGGAGTTGTCAGTTGAGTACTTGGAAAATGACATTGACATCTTCCAGAGTGTGAATGATTGGGTTGGTATTGTAATTTTCAAGTTCTGAGATATCTGAAATAAAATTGATAGCGTGTCAAACATGATTATTGTTCAATGTGCGGATCTTTTTTCATACTTGCTGCGGTGAATTCTGTGGACAATCTCTTTGGGAGGACTGGAATACTAGAAAAGAAACTATATCTGATATTATTGTTCTGCCATATAAACCGGAAGAAAGACTAACACTTGTGCAGCAGGAGCCTTTAGAGAAAGGGTCAACCATCACACATGTTCCTAATAGGAAAGGAACGTTGAGCATTGCAAACTATCTCTGTAGGTGTGGCGTGAAGGCTGCTCCCTATAATGTAGCGGTAAGTCATGGATTATAACAGTTTTTTCATGTACATAATGTATGCCGATGACAGATTCTTTTTTATTGTCATATTGCCAACTCATTGAGTTCCACTCATTATCCAATTGCTAACTTAAAGATGATTCATGCTGCCATCAAAATCTATCTCTTGTTTGCCACCAAAATATGTTTCATATACGCTTCAAAAGGATTTACTAGAGCTTCAACATCGTGTCATTTACTATTCACTAAAGCTTCATAAATAATTTTTTTATTTTTTTACTAAGAAGTCTTCATTACTATTTTATAAATTTTTCAGACGAACTCAAAAGATGTACAAAGTGTTGCAAGCAGTTTGTGTATTTTCATGTTATTTAATGAATTATTCTGATTTTTGGAAGTTAGAGTATACAAAAATAGTAACAAACGTAAGAGAATGACAAATGGTGACACTTGAATTGTGCGTCGTCAGAGTTTCCGACAGGTGTTAGTATCGCGTAGCTCTACGTGTCATCAGGTTCATTTTTGTATCTTTAACTTAAAAAATTCACAAACAATGAATAAAAAATGAAAAAAATGGACCGAAATTTCTTAAAAAACTCCTTGCAACACTATCTTCGACTATGATGTGTGATAATAAAATTTTGGCCTTGGAAAATTTGAAGTAATTATTGGAGGAAGAGTTGTTGTAAAGGAGAGTAATGATTTTCAACATAGTATTATTGTTAGCATCAAAACAAACTTGACTTCGAGAAATTATTTGAATTTTACATGTCAAAATTATATTTTAAAGCTTAGCCGCGGTAGATGTTAGAGTTTACGGTATGAAGCAATAGACATTAGAGTTTATAGGGATGAAGCAGGTGAAGGAGTTGAGTCTTATTCAATCTGTCTCCACTGATAATAGCTCTGTCAATGAGTTGTCAAGCTGCCATTGTGCTGCTGGTTTTGCATCAGTGGATTTTATTATTTGGAACTTAATAACTGAGACCAAGGTAGAGTCTTTTCCTGTACCTCAGACTGCTTACTGAAATGATTTGTAAGTTGTTTGTGTTATTTATTTTGATGCCTAAGGACCCATATTTTGTTGCCGGTTGTGCAAATTCCATGCGGTGGATGGAGTCGTCCTCATTCCTATTATCTTGGTGATGTACCAGAAATAAAGAACTGCTTTGCATATGTTAAGGTTCGTGTCAATCTATTTAGAATTGGTAATTTCAGAGGCACAAATAAAATAAGCATTGTGGAAAGATATATCCAGGGAGTAGGTCAAAAGTATTTTTTATCATCTGAAAATACACATCCATAAATGCATGATATGAGTTCCTTTAGTTTTGTGTCATGAATTGCTTTGTGAATTGTTTTGCTGCTAAGCACATCATTCTATCTTTTGTTAATAATTGATCGTATGTTTCATTTGTTTACTTTGAAAAGATAAGGTTTCATTTAAATTTTATCTTAACTCTGCACAACATTTCTTTGATTTACTAGGATGAAATCATTTATATTCATAGGCAGTGGGTGCTTGATGGTGAAAGGAAGGTACTCTCCAGGAATTTGCATATGCAATTCCATGGGAGAGGCATTCCATATGCTTTGTCTCAGAAGGATTTCAACCTGGAGTATATGGGAAGCACAACCTCTTCTCTGCGTCTAGTTGGATCGCAACTGGTTGTGAAGATAGAACTGTGAGGTTGACTAGGTATGATTATAATTATTAGCTATTTGATATCTGAAATTTAAAAATAAAATTGTAAAGGGAAAAATAGTTGAATTTATTGTATAGTATAATTGAATGTATTTACACTTTTGTTAACCTTGAGAACTGAGCTGACAGTATACATGCATGTTGTAGCCTACATAAAAATGAATATACGCATGATATTTATTTAACATATGAACCCGCCTTGGTGGCAAAACTGAGTGATTTATCAGGTGCTTATACAAGACTAGCTAATTGTCTAATGATCACTTAGGTATATGCCAGGTGTTGAGAATTGGTCTGCATCAAAATTACTTGGGGAGCATGTTGGTGGATCAGCCGTGAGATCAATATGCTCTGTGTCAAAGATAAGCATAGTTACGTCAGATGTGACCAACATACCCGATATGAGAAATGGACAAAATGCAGCAATGGAGAACATAGAAACTCCGGGTTCGTTGATTTCTGTTGGTGCAAAGCGGGTATTGACTTCTTGGCTACTAAGTAGGAAGGTAGACAAGAAGGAAGAACAACATAACATCACTGGAAATAGCAATAAATACTTCAAAAGGATTCACTAGAGCTTCAATATCGCATGATTTACTATTCACTAAAGCTTCATAAATATATATTTTTTTACTAAGAAGTTTGTGGGATTTTTTGGTGAATTTATTATGATTTTTGGAACCTAAAGCATTGGAAAAAACTAATGAATGGAAGAGAATGACACATGGTAGTGTCAGATTGGTGCGTCATTAGAGCTTCCGACAAATGTACGTATCATGTAGCAACATGTGTCATTAGTGGTTCGTTTTTGTGTCTTGAACTTAAAAACTTCACAAAAAATGGAAAAAAAAATATGAAAAAGAAAATTGCCAAAAATTTCTAAAACTCCCTTGCCACGTTTTCTTCGACTATGACTTGTGAAAACAAAATTTTGACTTTGGGAAATTTCAAGTAATAATTGGAGGAATAGTTGTAGTGAGGAGAGTAATGATTTTCAACATAATATTATTGTTAGTTGTAGGGGACTTTTTCTCCTGGTAGTTGCTGCAAGGAGCAATCTGATGCAAGTGCCCCCTTGTGTCTGAGTTTGAAGATTAAGCCCCAAGAACGTCTCAAAAGGGTAGTGAAGTCTTAGGAAACTCCTTGTTTACCTTCACTAATGAAAATAGAAACAAATTACAGATATATCTTCTAACTTGGCATGAGAGACTTATGGCATGGGAGCAAAATTATCATGGGTTTAACACTTAAGGAGAGAGAGCTGTGGGTTCCTATGAGAGACAGAGGTTCTAATGGAAGGAAAGAGGGGTTCTAAGGAGGTCTGATGGAGAGGGAGAAGGATGGTGAAGAATTATGGGTGAACTTAGCAGTTTCTGGCAGTTTGACAGTGACTCTGTCAAAGCTGCAGCAATCTGCCAGAACAGTGGAGATAAGGGAAATGGGCAAGCAAAGCACGAAATTTACTGAGTTTGCAGGTGAGAGAGGAAGCTTGCTCTCTGAAGGGTGTGTTGTAATACCCTGAAAAATTTAAGGTGGATTTTCATATTTTAGTGAAAAATAATATAATGGTGGAGAATGATTATGGGTATTTTATCAAGTGATTTTGGATTGAGATTATTAAATTAAGTGTGTTTAATTTCAAGTTGGACAAACATGACCAAAACACTCCTATGTATGATAGATTACCAAAATACCCTTGTAGGCCAAGAAAAAAAGAGAAGGAGACAACGTGTAAGCCAAGCATTTCTTCCCTCCTTCATTCTTCCCCCCTTGCCTCAAGTTTTCCTATCCATCATTTATGAAGAGTTGAGTCACCTAGCCTAAGAGTCTTTCTTATCCTCTTCTCCCATTCATTGAATTATCACTCTTTCTTAACTTGATGACTCACCTAGCCTAAGGCTTTTCAATCATAAATTCACTCTTATCCTCATCATTCATTGCATCATCCTTTCTTCCTCATTCACTCATCTTCATCCTCATTCTTCTTTTGTTCCTCTTCAAAATCCAAAATTCGTAACTTCCTTGGAGCAGCCGAGAACTCAAATTTCGAAAGCTCAAATGAGAAAACTTTCTTCATAAAAGTTGTTCATTTACGTGATTCCTATAATATACTCAAATTTCAGCTCAATCCGACTAGTATAGGCTCTGAAACGTTGGTATGATCACAATAAGTTTACCATTTCCTGATTTCACAGCAGTATGCTCGGTTTCAGTTTGTTTCTGTGATTTCCTGTACTCAAATGACTTTGGTTCCTTCATCAAAGTTGTTTGAAATGCTGTCTATTATAACATATCAAAAGTTCAGATTGATTGGACTTCTATAGCCACCTTGGGAATGTTTAGAGTGGAACTTGTTTATAGTCTTCGACCTTAGTTTTCTTCCCTCATTTTCAGTCCAAAACACTCATTTCAAAAGCTCAAAACACTATGGTTTCTTCATGATAGTTACTCCAAATTCTCCTCTTTATAACATATCCAAAGATCATCCAAACACAATCTTTATAACTATCTAAAAATTGGTGTGAACAGAACTTGTTATTATGTTGAATTTCTTGTTATAGATGTGTACTTTCTCTTAAATGGCTTGTTCCTTATCATTCAATTGCTCAAATTAGCCACTATCATCTCAAGTAAATGATTCTTTGAAGGCTTGAAGCTCATCTTTTTATTGTCTCGTTGAGTACTAGTTTTAAACCAAGTGTGGTTAGAATGCCTCAAGTATTTATATATCTTTCGAAGTGTGTTTTTGTGAAGTTCTAGATTATTTCGATGTGATTTTTGTTCCAATTTCATTTTGGGGTTTTGTTACATCAAAATGAATATCTCAAGGGTAATTTTAAAGTTGGTTTTGTGCCATTTGAATTTAAATTGATTTTGTGTGAAATTTCAAAGTAGAGACTATCCTGCTGGAATTGTTTTGATTATGCTGCATACCATGTTTTGAAGTAAGTGTTTGAAAACTTCATAAACTTGGATTTTCATGAAATTTTAGTATGTTTTACTTTCTCGTATTTTCTTCAGATTTGGAAAGTTTTATCTAGTTTGGTTGTAAATTGTAATTTTGGTGATTTTTCAAAATAAAGTGTACAAACCTGAAAAAAAACCGTTATGCAACGTAGTCTGCTTTTGGTTTCTATTTTGACTTGTTTCCTTAACCCTAATTTTTTTCAAATTTTGACATCTTTAATTTTTCTATGTCTAGTTGTGATCTGGAAAGTTTTACATTATTTTGATTTAAACTCAATATTTAGTGAATTTTCGAAGTTAACGTGTTCCAACCCAAATGTTTAGCAAAACTGAAATTTTAGTTTTAAATTGATGTTTTAAATTTTCTTTATGAGTCTAAAGCCGAACCACCTGATTTTAAACATCCCAAAGAGTAGAACTATTATAGGAGGGGAATAGATTAGTTTTTCCTTGACGCTTGGTTCTATACTTGCTTGGATGGGAGGTTAAGGGAGTAACAATCGGGTCAAACAACTTGTCAAGTGTTTTACGGGGTTTTAGGTCTGCGTGAGCTACTAGGACACTCAAACTTGTTTCCTTATTTCCAATGAATTTTAATCAATAAATTATCTTAACTAGGTGTTCTACTCTGCGTACTTTCGAGGACGAAACTGCACAAGGTTAAGCTAGCTGAGCTTTTATTGTTGATTTGTGTAATTAATATTTGTAAGTAGTCAACCGTTTGTTAAAGATCCTAGTGTGTAGTTAACTACAAGCTACTGCGACTCTGATTTTGTGATGTTAAGTAAATTTGTATTTTTTTTGTGGCTCTATTTCTCATCATATCATGGTTGTAGGATTTTATTCTTATGACTATGGTATGACTCACGCCATGATTCGGGAATATTCTTTATTATCGAATCGGGTCGTGACATGTGTTGTGTTGTGTTGGGTAGAAGAGGCCCTATTTATAGCTGCTGGGGTTTGTTCTTCTCCAAGAAACCCTAATGGTTTCTTCCCAATCTAGCTAAGCTTTCCTATTCCTTTCTTCTCCTCTTTCTTGACTTACCTCATGGTGGCAAAAATCAGCTCTGCCCAATCCCACAAAATCAGAGATTTTTGGGAGCTCCATGCTTCTTCCTACGGCTGCTTCAGAGGAGAGCTTCTACTTTCACCCATCTTTTTTCTCTTCTTTCTTTCTCTTTCCATGGCCAAATCTGATGGAGGAAAGAAAATGGGTATGCATGCTGGTTCAAAGGATGGCATCCTCCCTGCGCACCAATATTCCTTGGTCCCTTTAATGCCTTCACTTGGAACTTGCTCCTTCCATGTGGAACCTCCCAGCAGCCCCTCCTTATGTGGATCCTTTGGCTTCTTCGGGGCTTTTTGCTTCAGCCAAGTGCTGAGGGCCTTGGACTCCTTTTATTCAAATTGTATGGGCCTTTTAATATAGAAAGCCAAGTCATCTAATAAGTGGGTTAAATTCACCAAATATTTGGGCTTTATGGGCTATCTAAGGTAATCGGTTATTTTTTACTAAGATGATGGGCTATTTTGGTTGGGCTACTTGTTGCGTAGATTTAGCTCCACCAAAATGGATTAAGCTGCATCCTCAACTTGTGATACTCGCAAGTGCACGAACCGTTGGTAGTATAGCATATGTAAGTGCGAGGTCGATTCCACAGGGATTGGTGATTGAATGATCCAATTTAGTTTCCCTACACAAAATAGAAACAAAAACAAAGAACATAAAACAAGGAAGAAAGAAATAAGTAACTCAAGCAAATAAGTTCCCAAGTTCAATTTAGATTAATGGATTGATTCTAGCTAAAGTATGATTAAGCCATGGTGTGTGGTCATAACCTTGTGTTCCTAATTCCCTAATTTGATCATTTGTTGTCTAACCTAAAATTAAGCATTAGGAACCCATTAAGCATAGAAGAACAATTTAAACAACCAAGCATGTATCTAATCCCTGTTGTCGAATGTCCATACATACTCTTCCTATTCATAGTTCAATTCGAATTAAAGCATGATGTATACTCTTAATTCAAACCAAGATAGCTAACACGCAAGCCTAAATGGTGATCAATCATTCAAACTAACATATTAACTTATAAGCATAATGAATAAGAACATGAACCATAATTGAAACTTGGAAACTAATCAAACTTGAAAAACTAAAGAAAAAAATTTACATAATGAAAAGTAAAGTGGAACTAAGAAAAACTTAAAGGAGAATTTCAGCACAAAGATTTCATTACAACAATTGAAAACTAGAAAATGAAACTAAGAGAACTTGAGGAAGAGAAGGGAAGGGAGCTCTAGAGAAGTGTTTGAGACCCTTGGGGTGTGTTTACAAGCTTAGAGAACATCCCTATCTATAGGCCTAGGGGAAGTGAAAATCTGAATTCAATATGACTAATGCATACAACACTTGTTTTATAAAATCTGAAATAGTTGATGCACTTGTATTAGAAAATCTAAATTGGGTCATGCACTTGTATTAGAAAATCTTGAATTGGTTGATGCACCAATAGATCCCACCAGCAGCCCTAGCTCATCTTAATGTCACCATGACCAAGCTTCCAACCAGAAACAATAGCTCATCCTGAGGTCAGCATGACAAGAAACTTCAAGGGCTTACGAATTGGGCTTCCCTTAAGCAAATTAAGACTTTAAGCACTCAAACTTGAAGTTCAGAAT